TGCGCCCGGCGGTGGAGCGGGGCTGCGTTGACTCCATGTTGCGGCCTCTGGTTGGTGTCTACCATGATGGGCAAGGGGAGATCTCCCGAGCGGGGCGTACCGAAAGCTGTCCCTTCGTCCCCGGGGGGAACGGTGGCCTCACAGCCTGTCCCCCGAAGCCACCTGGCATCCCTGGGGCTGCCTGTGTCACCCGCCTTCCAGACGGGCTGGTAACACCAAAAAGGATTTACTCTGCTGCCAAAGTCGTGGCAGAGCCAGAAGACAAGCCGAATGGTGTAAAGGTTGGTGCTGAGTGTATGGTTTAGGGGTACATCCAGGCTTATGGGAGGAACAGAAAGACCTCTCTTGGAGCCTGGAGGGGCTGGATGAGCTATGTGTCTTTTGGCCCGCTGATCAGACACGGATCAGGAGGTCTTCTCAAGTGGCAGGTTCAGGAAGTCACCCTGGATCCACGTTTCTCCGGGCTGGGTTGTGTTGCCTGCAAGGGATGTATCCAAGTGCTGCGCAAGAACTGGAGGCGTAAAATTCAAGAGGTGGGGAGGGGAAGAATTGTTCCTGTAGGGCAGGAGAACGCCAGCCTTCGTGAAGGGGCTTCAGAAGGTTGATGTGTTTGTAGGGAGAAACCTAGTGGTTGAGTAGCCAGACGAGTCAGAGTAGAAATGTTCCAAAATACTGTGAGCTCGTAGAGAAAGCATGTGTCGTTGTGGTGCCCAAGGAGGTCCTGGGCTGAGTTGGCAGCAAATGGGAAGGAGTTTGCAACATGTGGCTGTGAAAAGCCAGCATACCTTTTGATGACACATATTGAGACTGTTGTGCGGAGCAGGAAGCAGTAATCATTCCATAGCTTTAAGGTGACTTGAGGTGTTATTTATTTGTGGATGGGTTACTCCCAAGCTGGAATTTGGAGAGCAGGAGAGAATTACCAGGTTGACTTCCCGCAGCAAGAAGAGAAGTTGCAGACACAGAGCACAGAACTTAGTGATGGTGAAGTGTGTGCACGGATGTAGTCTTCACAAATGGAAATGCTGCAAGAGCTAGACGGAGGACACACCACCTTGGAGGAAACTTCAGTGAAATTAATCTGAAATTTCATCTCTGGAATGTCTTCACATGCAATGTTTGTTAGGATGGGAAGAAACTGATGGAAACTGACGCTTCCTTCAAAGGAAGGCTCTAGTAGTGGCTCTAGTATGGTGTGTTGCTGTGCCTGTAGAGTGAGCAGGTCTCTGGAGAGGTCCACAGTGACCAGTGTGGGACTGGTGCCTCTGTCTTTTCTAGTCCTCGGCTAGCCCAAGCTTTGCTGAATGAGCAGGTCACAGGTGGGCACCTATCAGGGACCTATTTGTGTTCACTGAAATTAAGGGGAGATCAAGCCTCAAATCTGAGCTGGGTTCATGGTGTATCTCTGCACGGTGCCTACTTATTGCTTGTCCACCTTCTTCCCCTACTGATCTGCTTGTGTAATATTTTAGTCTTGACATTATATTGGTCGAGGTAGAAACTCTGATGTCCTGTCCCAGTGCCCAGCCCCGGTGGTCTCCGGTCTTAACTGTGCTTTGGGGGTGGTAGCGGTAGCGAAACAATATCCATTCAAGGGCAATAATCCTTCTCCCTTGGGCCTCTCTGTCTCTTACGCTTGTATAGTCTCAATTCTTCCAGCCCTATGCATATCTAGGGAAAGGAGAACACTGCACAGAATTTTAATGCTATAGAGGGGGCTTTCTTTTTTTTTTCTAGACTCTGTTGTAAGTCTTTGCTGTCCCTGTGCTGCTTCTCCAGCTGCTGTGGGAGCGGGACTGGGCTAGATCAGCCTTGGTGGGGTTGCTCTGTGTCTGGCTCTTCATGCAGGACATTGACAGGTTGTGTCCAGGCCTTCAGGATTTCGGAGAGGCGGCCTGGGGACAGTGAAAATAGGTACTGTGGAGTATAAACCCCAATGTACTGAACGGTTGAGTAGCGTGACTGTAAGACTTCTGATGCCTTGTAGGACGGTCTTGGCTTTCTAAGATGAACTGTTGCCCGTAATGGAGGTCTTCCCTGCTGAATCAGGAATGCGCCACTGAGCTAAGTCCACGTTTTAATTTTGGAAGTTGCCTTGCTCTCGGAATGGTGGTATCCTCCCTCGTGCTGCGGTCTTTCTGTTTTCAGGGCCAAATTGAGAGAGATCTGTGAACTCTTAATGCCCTTCCTACGAACCGAGTGAGCACAGCCTAGACCCAGCTGCCTTTGGCTCAAGTGGCTCTCAGGGGAGGCAGAGCTGAATTTTCTGGGCAGTGGGCTATTATGCAGAGAGGCAGAAAGAAGTAAACACCTGGAAACCGAGCAAAATGCTCTTTGCATCTTCAGTTAGACTTCCCACTGGGATGGGGATTATTGGCTTCCCATCGCGAAGCCTTAGAAGGAAAGCAATCCTGGTTGATTCCTGCTGCAGGGTGGGAAGCATGCTTTCGCTAAAATAATCAATCAATCAATCAGCCTTAGCTTCCACTCAAAGTTATCTTGGTAAAAGTCTTCATAAGGGTGTTCTGATGTGGGAGAAAGTGTCTTTATTGTGTTACTGTGCAAACCCTTTAAGGGTTGGAGCAGGTTTTCACTGTACGGAAACTGCAAGAAATCAACTAGAGCTTTGACAAAGTAGAATGTCTGGCCGCATCAAGGTAACGTCTTACTGCATTTCCATCGTTTTGTATGCTAATCAGGCAGTACATTTGGAAAAAAATGTGTGAAAGGACTTTGTGCAAACATGCTTGGGGTCTTGTTCTTTCCAAGGAGCGGTATTTTTCAACCTCTGTTAATAGGACAGCTATTCCTTTTTTTTTTTTTTATTTCCTTTAATATCTGAGAGCCCTTAAATGCAAGTCCCTAATTAGGAAACAAGATAAGATTGTGTGATTGTGTTCACTCTTACTCTTTTTTCCATGACACAGCTGTTGTGTGGATGTTGTTTCAGTGATAAGTCATCGCACTTCTAGTTAGAGGTGAGAGATACGAGTGGTTGTGTTTTGGCTAATGCGTCGGTGGCCTTGAGCTCAGATTGCAAAGGTGGATTCTACCTGTACAAATGGCACTGCAAGGGTTCAAATACGCTGGGCTTTGGCCAGAGTACCTTGTATCTCAGTACGATGCATGAGCTCAAAAATACTCCCAAGTCTTGCTGCCACCCACCCGGTGTGCTCAAGCACAGCGTCTCCTCCTTGCGATAGGAAAGCATTGGCTCAGGGAAATGCACGTGGTTTGACCTGGCTTTGCGAGGCTGTGTATGTGCACCTCCAGGACATTAGGTTTCAGAAGATGCTCTGAATTCTCTATCATTAAAACTTCTCAATGTGTGTTTTGGAAGGTTACAGCCTAATGAATGCCTTCTTGGAAGGAGAGCAGTTATTTCAAGTACAACTGGAAATATCCCATGAGTGCCAGCTATGGCACTATCCTTTGAAGTGCCATGAGGTGAACGTTCTCATCTCTATAACAGAATCACATGGGGTTGGAAGGGACCTCTGGAGATCCTCCAGTCCAACCCCCTGCCAAAGCAGGGCCACCCAGAGCAGGTTGCACAGGAACGTGTCCAGGTGGGGTTTGAATGTCTCCAGAGAAGGAGACTCCACCACCTCCCTGGGCAGCCTCTGCCAGGGCTCTGCCACCCTCACAGGAAAGAAGTTCCTCCTCATCTTTAGGTGGAACTTCTTGTGTTCAATTTTGTGCCCATTTCCTCTTGTCCTATCCCTGGACAAGAGGATAACCCTGTTGATAACACCTCGTGGAGGGTAGGCTAAGACTTCATCTGTGCAACTGGATGCACTTTTTCCTTTGCCTGAGGTCTGGAAAGCCTTGCAGTGGGCAGTACATGTCGTCCGGTGTGGAGGAACGTGTTCTCCTTCAGCACAGCTGGATTCAACTGGGTTGGCAGCATCTCCCAGCCCCACGGAGTGGGCTGTGCTCTCAGCTGTGGTGGACTCCGGCTTCTGTTTCCTTTTAGTGAGGAGTATTGCCTGTCTCGTGTGCAGCCCCTAAGAGTTTCCTTGTCTGAAGCTGATTTGGTGATGAAGAGCCTCTGAACCGGGTGTTCCTTTAAGAAACACTTATTCCAGCTGGAATAACATGTATTTATCTGCCTGAGATGTTCTAAGAGCGGTTTCCTGGGTAAATCAGGCATTTTCACTGTAAACTTCCAACCTCAGCAAAATCTGCTCTGTTTGGGTAAGCTACGGAGTTGCACCTCTGGGAATGTTAAATGATTCCAGATTGTTTCCTCAAAGATACTGTAAGGCTGTGACAAACCTGAGCAGCTCCAGGCAAGGACTGCTTGGGAGAGGCCACAGTTTCTTGTTTCTTGCTTTTGTTTCTTGTAAGGAAACGGTCTCTTATAACTGGTGATATTTGCCATGTTTGAATTATGATTTCCTTTTAGACCCATATAGAAAACAAAACGTTCTAAACAGCCACTGGATTGCTTATTATTCTTAATATTGTAGTTTTGGCCACGAGCCTGCGGTGTAATATGTCCGATGTGTTGTCCGCTGTCTGTGGCAGAGGAGTGTGTTTGGGATTTCTCTTCTGGCAGTGTTGTGTTTCCCTCCTGAGCGTACAATAATTGAGTTGGTGGCTGTTATTCCTTCTTTCTGCTCATTAGTGAAACTTGGGACAAGTGTCCCCCTGCCAGTATGATGG